TTAAAATAAATCTTTATATTTATAAATAAAATGTTGATACTTAAATAAAAATGTTACTTGAATCTATTATCTATAGGTGAAGACTATTCATGATTTTAAATTTAAATATTATAATTTTATTACTTTAAGTCTATTTTAAATAATTCCATTATTTATAAAATAAAAACTACGTTTGTTAAATAATTATATTAAAGTAATTATAATATGGTAAGTAAGGTATATTTAAATTAATTAATTGTCGTGGGTAAATTTATCGGAATTGGATAATTTAATAATCCAGGAATTACTAAGTACATACCTAGTACAAAATCAGTTTTTAGATAGAAATACAACAATAACAAAACCTCACGATGCAATTTTTGTACTATTTGCGCATTTCAAAATTTAAATTATTAGAATTATTGTACTCGTATTGTTAATATTTTTATACAAGTTTATATTAAGAACATTGTTTGGTATTCATAACAAATTTGCAGTTCGTGATAGAATGATGTGAATATCAATGATGATCATTGTAATTTTGAATAATTCGTATACAGTGCAGYACTTTTACCAAATCATTGTCAACCAATTAAAAACATGTCTTATTTATATCAAGGGAAAACTGTACCAGTACCATACAGGTTAAATACTCAGAATGATAATATTATATATTTATATAGGTGTATTACGTGTACCTATACTATACGCACTAATAAATCCATCGTACAAGAAATGAAGAAAGTCACACCTAAAAATCCAATAATATAAATTACATATTCTTGTCATGTTTCGTAAACAGTAGATATCTCCGTGACTCTGTGTTATTATTTTTTTCTTCTTTTTATTTATTTATTGTCCTTTTTATCTAGTGCGAAGACTTTATGACGAGTCCAGATGTTGGTGAACACAGCCGTTTTTTCGTCAAAACGTTTTTAGAAAATTCTAAAAACGGCATCACGATGAAAGCTAGTAAGGCGATTCATCAACTGACCAATAAAGAATTTATCAGCTACACACCATCGTTCAGTGYACCAATAGACTCTAGTGCAGATAGCTAAACGCCATTAGTGGAAACAATTATTTTCAATACGTTAATTGTTATTAGGTGTATGTGTATCTTCATTACACGCCTATGTTATTATTGTTTGTGTAGGGTTATAATACATATGTATACTATTATTATTGTTGGTTGTTTATGYTATGTTTCCACTCATTAGCTGCGATGTTGAATGCCTGCAAACGGCCAAAAATAATAATGACACACATAAATACATAATATTATGTAATCACATCTGGGATATAATAATCTGCATGTGATGCGATGCGTATATAGGTAATATACGCTGTCTGCATGTCGTTATAATATTATTATTATTCTATTATCGTGTGAATAAAATATTTKTCGTGTCAAAAACGATGCGCAGCGCGATTTACATTTTGTAAAGCAATTACAGCGCGTACCTATGCATAGGTACCTATTACACGGTAAGTACTTCAAATTGCAGTACACGAGAAATACAACATAAATACTGAATAATTGAGAGCATAAAGAATTCTGCGTAATTTGGATTTTATTTTAATTATCGATTGCACCTATATATATATAATATACAATATACATAACACACATGTACATATAGTAATATTATGCCGACCTAATTTATTAGCGCACACTCTGATTGCGAACAACATACAATTCACCTTTGTACAGTTATATATATACATTACATTAAATGTAGGTACACGTGTGAAAATGTAATAATATAAATAATATATATCCAATTACTGAATCACAGTATCGCTTTTTTATGGTTTTCGCATCGTACAACACGCGGTTTGTCATGGACATGTTCAATGTTGCAAATTCCAAAGCATTCGTATAATAATAATAATATGTATTGTACGTATGTGTAATGCGCGTCTTATCAGATTGTATGACCATCCGAATATGTACACATGTACAGCCTGCTGTGTGTGTGACGTGTGTAATGTATACATGTGTATTACATTATGCTTTAGGTATTATATTATGCGATTATCGCTGCAGAACTAAATTTTAGGTTACCATTTTATAATATTTTTCAAACGACGGTCATCGTGCGTGTATCAAAACGTTATTTAAACTTCAAATATATTCGTTCAACTATGTGGTCGTATTTATTTATATACAGAGTGAATTTTTGAGCATACTCRCCACCATATTTCGGTTCGGTAGTATACCTACAATTATCCGAACTCTGGCAACATTCTTGTAAACGTTGATGTATCCAAATCAAAATTCTATTGAGTAGTTTCTGAGTTATTAAAATGTTTATATTAATGATAAAAATCCTAAAAAATATATAAACTATGTACCTAATATTAGATGTAGTAGGTGATGTTGACAGATCAATGAYCGAAACTAATATTTTAAAATAATCTAAGACCCATATCTACTTATTGGCTATATTGGCYTTATTATCATCCTTACCTATAATATAAAAGTTATAAAACTTACAAACTACTCATTCAAGTTTTGACTTAAATACATTAAATTTCTCAAAAAAATAAAATTAATAATGCCTGCTGAATATGATATAAAGTTCTTATTTGAAAAATAAAAGTTTGTATTGTCACAGGATCATTCTTAAATGGTACGAGTATTCAAAAATATGGTCTTCAGAAGTATTWGAAAATTCTAAAGATCAGAATTTGATTATATGCATTATTTAAACATAAAAATAGGACGAGCGTGCATAAAAAAYCACTCTGTATAATATTGTATGTTGTGTTTCGGCTCTGGCTGAATTTTTTCTTCGATTAGGCATTTTTATCTCAATCTTTACAATGAGTGTATAATATATAATTAATAAGAAACGCGGCCATAATAATTATATTTTTCTATTGATTTTAGATGTTATTAATGTAATAACGTTATAGTTCGTGAACTATGCGGCTGAATTCCAAGTTCCAACACACTAAGATATAAAGAAACTGAAACGAATATCACGACATTTATGAAGCATTATTTAATTTAATATGTACTCGGGTCGATGCTATTATATTAATCAAGTACGATTCTAAGCAGTTTTCGATAAAATAATATTATTCGGAATACACACAAATTATATATATATATTGTGYGCGTATAATATGACGTTCTTACGTTCAAAGAAAACGATAAATATAATAATTAACAAATGTAAAAAATACAAATTAAACGCATAATTATTATAACGGCATTCAATTACAGAGATTATAATATAGTGTTGCAGTAAGAATAATGTGAAATTCGACGATAACATTTGACCACCTGATARTAGTATGAACTAGTAACAACTAACAACTATAGTTATTATTGCAACAAATACTTTGCAGTTTGCCTACTATAATGCTATTTTTCATTAACTGTTATTTATGGGCATGCGCTATACTCGCCAGTCGCAACAGCGGCAATTGTGTGAATTGTTTCGATGAAAACATTGTAAGCCAATATCATTATTAGAATTTTATGATAAAACGAAAAAGTTAATAGATCAGGCACATCATATTATATGACAAGGTATATCTAAATAATGATAATATAATATAATAATGCATAAAATTATAGGTAAATAAATAAAATAAGGCTTGATGGCGAGAAAGAAAAAAATAAGTGAACAATCCCATGTTGCACGTCTCACAATAAGAACACGTAATAATGTTTTGTTGCACTTAAAATGGATGGTCTCAAATTTATTTTTTTCGAATGCGATTCTTATTGTTTTATTTATTGGGTACCATTATTATTACTATTATACGTTACAGAATTAGCACTTTCATTAATTTTTAATGCCGTTTTCGCCTGACAACGGCTTATTAAATCCAAAACTATATTCGTGGAGGAAGGAAACGTGTGTAGCGATAAAACAATATTTTTCTAACGGCCATAGTTGTTAATTAGAACAAATAGCGCTTTATAATTTATACACACACACACGCACCTGCGACGTTGAGCGAGTTTTGTCGTAAAACTACGATAATCGATTGCAATTTTTCATAATAGATGTCGTACGACGTATATAATATAATATGTATATTACAATGTATGCAGTACGTGAGTTTTTTTTTCTCACGTCTGTCAATTTTCGTGCATCTTTGTCTATTTATTGGCCAATAAGTAATAATGATGATTAAAGAATAATATTATATACGTTTTAGTCTATATTTTTATAAATAAAATATACAAATTAAGCGTACATATTATATTGTGTAAATTATTGTTTTAATAAATAAAGTTAAAACCGATTACTGTGGTCGATTTTTAATATTCAAATCTTTCAAACAGCCTAGCCTAATCTCAATGATAATTTGTATGTTAAATGTTTAAAATAAGTCTAGCAGACTTAAAGGCAGTTCTAGATACCCGCCGACACAAGTRTAGGTTATTGGATGAAGTATTCAATTTATTTTGTATGTGATATATATTGAATAGTCACCATATCTATTCTAGCTATATTAGCCTTATTCTTTACCTAAGTGAGGAAAAGAGCAATAATCATTCGAATTTGATTTATACAAGTAGTGGATCGTAAGAACACAAACATTTTWAAAAAAATCAACCGTTTAACAATAATTTTCATAGAAAAGAAAGGTTCTTAGTTAAAAAAGAAGTTTTTARTACCACAGAAAGGCAAACGCCCAAATCATTAGTTAGAAACTATATTATATATTATAGTAGCGCAGAAAAATATAAGTATTTAAAATTATGATCTTTGAAATGCTCAACTGTCTATATAATTATACATAAAACTGTCTAATATCAAATTTAGAAAAGTATTGCATACTGATAAAAAGGGTGAGCAAAAATAGCATATGTCTGGTGAATCACTCTGTATATTATGATAATTATGGTATAGGCTGCGTACGAATTGATTCCCGGGTACCTGTCCACCTGCACGGATACCGTTGAGTTGATTCCCGTGTGATTAAGAAGTACGTACGAGTTGAGGCCATTATATATTTTTTTCAATGTTTAGTAAAATATTTAGCCTATTAGCATAACTCAAGAAACACCATCACGAAGAGGTTAGCTGACAAGTTTCTCAAAAAATTTTTTTTTTTTTAGTTTTTTCATATTTTGAAAATCATTCAATTTTTATTTATAAATTATTTTTTGTATAATATTATATTATATTTACTATTTATTAAAAAAATTATAAAAAAACATTTAGTAATTTGGTAAAAATTTCTATCACATTGTTTTTATTAATTGGTAGGTATCTGCAGGTAATGAGATTATACAACAATACGGAATCAACTCATACCTACCTCTTAATGACTCGGGAATCAACCAATATATAACATAGGTCTTCACTTATCGCGATGCTGTAATACATATTATTATGTCATATGTACACTTAATGATATCTATTCCCCAAGTGGCGTTGAAATTCGACTATATTGTCCTCTCTCGCAGCCAAATATTACAGTGTGGTACAGAATACCTATATATGTATATACAGTATAATAAATGTACGTAAATATACCTGCTGTAGGCATATACCTACATAAGTTATAACGCGTAGGAGCATAGTCGCTACGTATTATTTTATTTTATTTTTAAACGAGAGCTTTTTTTGATGATCATTTTGCACAGAAATGTAATTTCGACGATTTCACTAAAACGTTTTCATTCGAAAACGCACTTTAATATTCCTAATGTACGAACGTTTTATGTTATGACGTGTATACATATACCTATTACTTCGAATACGGCTGTTCAACCTCTACGATTTGTATGTGTGCACTGTGCAGTATATATAGGTACACCGAAACACCATCATATTGTACTAGCGTATTATCATAGTAACTATTATACCTAACATGTACAGCCCACACTGGCTTATTTACCAGAACGATAGCAAAAAATACATACATATGCATGATACATTCATCTAATTATTAAGTCGAAAATTATACAGCGTGTTATTACTTTTTATGACACATTAAAATATTAAATACACTTGGGTATTTCTTTTTTAAATGTTCAATAATTTGTTTTCATAATCGTGGGTGTTTAATATTAATAATAATAATAACAATATTATGCAGCTACCTAAAGTTTTTACAAATATAATATTATTAAAATATATTTTTTCGAATTATATATATATATATATATATACATACATACATTAACGACTTTTTACAATAA